AATTAAAATTACATAATAATAATAATTAATTTATCATTCTAAGTTGCACTCAAAGATTAAAGATAGCTTGAAAATAGGATCAAGCCAATCGATAATAGATTTGGCTCAACTTGAGATTATATTGAATAACTTTTAGTCATTCTTCAGTCAAACCCAAATTCGTTGAATCATGACCCTATAATTAAATATTCTAAAAATGAATGAATTAATGAATTATTATTTTGATAAATTATTGCAAAACATCTTATATATGTCACATTTTATTATTTTCTTATAAGACAGTAAGCCCCTTGTCCCCTTATCTGTATTATGAATGTGTTGTTTTTTCTTATAAGTTAGTACAAAGTATCAAAATTTTGTTATAATATTTTGCTTATTTACTTCACATTATGTGTACTATTATGATGAACATCTTATATTTATTTTATTTTCAGAGCTTCACTAATTGGAGATAGAAATTATAAGATGTCAAAAAATTCTTTTTGTTTATTTCTTTTTTTAACTGTTTCACATGTTATAGAAAGAGAACTGAAGATATTATGCACTCAACACCCAACACACAATATAGGCTCGACAATAGGTGTGCATTCCTCCCCCAATGCAATGTCATTTGGTCATCTTGTGCAGGAACTAGGAGCCATGGGATGGCTGGACCATGTCATGCGGGAACCTGGAGCCGCAAGGTGTGTCGTTTTGTGTTCTTGTTGATGTTACATTTACTCTAGATTTATTAGATTAGTTATAAATCCAGCTTAAGTAATTTGTGAAATTTTTGTTTATATTTTGTAGGCTTAATTGATGCTCCATTTGTGTTATATGTTTTTATTTATGTTTTGCAGACTTAGTAGTTCCATTATTAGTTTATTTTGAGTTGTCAGATATGCTTAATGAATGTCAAACAACCAAAATACTGACTAAGAATCATATGATGTTAAATGGCTACGGAGGTGAAACCAATTTTATTAATTTTTAATAGTATTATTATGTATTACGTCATTTATTTCGATCCTGATTTTACCAGTCCACAAATTTCTCCTTGCAGTCTGTTGTCTGATCCGATTTTCACAAACTTGATTATTTATACTTGAAATCGTTAATCATTGAGAAAATGAATTTATTTGGGGGGCGCATAAGCAAACGTGCAACGAAAATTTTATTTGTTTTGTGCGCTTCTGGGGGATGCCTTAGACGACAGCTTCCTCCTGCTGCTTTGCTGCTCCTCCTTCTCTTCTCCCCTCCGGCTAAGCCGGAGGCCCTTCTTCCTTCGTAATGGATCCTCTTCTTCTTGCTGACTTTCCTCTTTTGTCAGCTAGCCGTGCCTCGCCCTCAAAGCCCCGTAACTGGAATGTTATCTTTGCCCCGGAGGAGGCCTCCCCTTCAGATCTTATGTTATCCCACTTCCCTTCGGAGCCAGAAATCGTGCCATTCTCAGGTGAGAAGCTCAAATCTGGTGCTGATGACTGGTCTTATTGTTTAGTTGGCTACTCGATCGGTCGTAGGCCTTTTTACGAGGCTCTGTTAGGCGCGGTCAAAAAAACTTGGAATTTGAAAGGAGATCTGCATATGCTGTCATTGAGTAATGGGTTCTTTTTATTTCGCTTTGCATGCGCTGAAGATTTGGATTTGGTGTGGCCCAGAGGAGTGTGGTTCCTCCTGGGCAAGCCCTTTATCCTGCAAAAATGGCACCCTAAGTTCAAACCTAAGAGGGAAAATCTCACCTCTGTTCCCATATGGATAAAAATCCATGACCTTCCATTGGCCTGCTGGAATTCCGAGGGTATATCAAGGATTGCGAGCAAGGTCGGCATTCCTCTTGCAGCGAACTCGCTTACTTCAAAAAAGACCAGGCTGACTTTTGCACGCGTGTGTTCTGGTTGACAGCAACACGATCTATCCAGAGGAAATCCTGGTTTCGTTGGACGGAGATGTTGTCGCGCTCAAGGTTCAATACGAGTGGAGACCGTCTCTGTGTGATCACTGTAAGTCTTTAGTTCATTACTCTTCCCTCTGTCCCTCTAGATCGCATACAGAAGAGGCTGAAACTGAGAAAACGACTGATAAAAATCTGCGTGGAAGAAGTCACAGCCGACATCATAGCAAAAAACTAGGATCAGTTCGTCACCA